GCCTGACAAGGGGTTCCATTTCATAAGATGGAAACCAGCTCCCCATCGTTTGAACTTGGGGTAAGATATGGTTATTTTAAATCCTGGTTTTATCAAGTCCTTAACAGTAAAAAGGATGAACTTAAGATAACATCCTATAAGGTGGTACTGAACACTGCTGAATAATTCAGTTGTTTGTTCTGGCAATGAAAATAAAAGGCTGTTTTTATAAACAGGTCATGAACTTTTGGGGGAAAACCAAGATCTTTCAACTGAATAACTTGGGTCTGTTAAGATTTTGAGCAAATTAAGGGCAAATATCAGCATAGTTTTCAGTATTGCACAAAATGGGTATTCTATAAACATAAATTAAAAATGGATGTCCTAGATTTAGGTTACAGGAAAATCAAATTAACCATCGAGTCATATCTGGTGGCATCCTTAACCTTCTATGTTAATATTTGAGATCTTGCTGATATTTTAAAAGCAGTGCTGCCCAGCCATCAATGAGTTACAAAGCTGATGTGCTTCTCTGACCGTGCTAGGTGTGGCTGAGTATATTTTTGTAAAAGAAAGGAAGAATAAAAGAGGTTACTAAACATACATCCCAAGTTCTTAAAACATGCCATTTGTGTTTGAGATTTCTTTTTTTCGGCAACTATAATAGCCTAAGTTAACTATTCAAATCTTTCTACAAAGCCGGGTGATAATGGCAGCCCAGCCACAGCAAAGAGGAAAGACAGAACAACTAGGTAAGGGAATGAAAATATGTGCTGGCTAGTTCTTCAGCTCAACGCAAGGAGTCCCTTTCACACTTGGTCTCACATGAAAAGAAACAAAATTAGTCATCTTAGAATAGCAGCAATGCCTATTTCGAGAAGATTTATGTGAAAAAAAGAAAATCATTTCTTAATACTTTAAATGAAGAGATTTAGAAAGCAAACAGTGACTCAAAGATCTTTTAGGCTAAGTGTTATTGTATTCATTAAGATGACTTTGTTTATAACTGCAGCTGTTTCCAAAATCCTTACATTTCTGTTGCCATGAATTGCTAGGGTTTTCCTCTAAGGTCAGGAGTTACCAAAAACAATAAACTAGGCTGAGGAGTCTAAAAAGAAGTAGTTCTGCCTTTTCCTTTTAAATTTTAAGGTGTAATTCTTGAAGACACGGACACACCAAATTCAGCCTCCAGACAAAATGCTAAAAGTCTAACAAATCATGTGACCAAAGTTTTTTTCAACACAGTTGAATCTTTTTAAGTTAAAGAAAGGATTTTTTTAGCTGGAATTTTTCAAAAAGTGGCTAATACCTATTTTTTTAAATCTTCCTTTTGATGAGGAAGGAACACAGGTGTTTGAACTTGAAGTAGATGGTTTTACATAGAAAATATGTATATAATTTTGATAATACTATAGTTATTCAGGGTGGCTGACTATCAAATTCTATTAAAATCCCATGAAGGGAAATCTCAAAACACTTATTATGCTCCACAATTATTGTAAACCAAACAATTTAAATAAGAGGAGGAGATAATGACATTAACTTTTTAACTTAAAGCAATCCTCTGTGGCATGATTTTAAAATATTCTCTTGGTCTGAAATTTATGTAAATTAAATTCATCTATCATTGGTTATTACCAGCCTAGCTACATTTAAAAAAACAGTTTTCTGTAACAATTAGTTCTTTAAAACACTGTGTTTTAATTAGACCTGGGACATTATTAAACTAGCTATAAATATGTACAATATTTTATTTGGTATACCCAGATGTCTGAAAATCAACAAGAATGCCCTCGGAGTTTTTTCTTCAAAAATTCTTCTAATAAAAGCCTTTCATTCAAAGTTTTAATGTAATCTGAAGTAAGTACTCTTTTCAGATTCCATTATGTAAATACAAAAGAAATGGTCACTCATAACCAGACAGTAATAATTGGATCAGCGTATTTTAGCACTCATAGGAGTGAAGTCAGAGATAACCAATTTCTTCATTATATGAATGTCCATGGCCACACACAAAACCATGGCAGAGTTTGAATAAAACCTAGGTTAGTTATTTCTACCACATCACACAAGCATCTTACCCCATTTAATCCTCACCACAACTGCACAGTTTAGGTTCTATCATTACCCCATTTTACAGAGAGGGGAGGTTATATGGTTAGGCTGGTATTCAGTCAAGTAAGGATTAAAACTCAGACAAGTCTGACTCCAGAAACCATACTACCACCCATAATACTAAATTTTAAGAATAGGTAGATATGTTCTATTTATAAAGAAAACTCCAGATTCTAACATGTACCACCACCCTTTTAAGAATAACAAAATTATAACAAAACATGAAGGTTATAATTTGGAGTTCAAATAAGTCCTTTTCCAAGCCCAAGTCAAGCATCAACTTCTCTCCTGACAACTGCTGTATAGTGTTCAAAGTGCTGGCTGCCTTAGGAACAAAAATCCAAATGTTAGCTCTCAGCAAATTGCCACATATCCCAACCCCTCCAGTGGCTCGGTAGAATCATATGACTAAGTTCTGCAGTAAACTATTACTGCAAGTACGGTGCTGAAATTCTAGGAATGCTGTTTTTAAAAAGCAGTCGTAGCTTTTAGGAGAGCTCTGTCCCTTTCCCCAGGTATCATTCTGGCTGGAGCTTCAGCAGCTCTCTTGGATCCAGAGGCAGCCCTGGGTAGGAAGCTGCATGCTGTGGAGGGTGGAGGAGGAAAACAGGCGCTTGGGTTCACAAGGAGACCAGGAAGCCTGCTTGTCATACGTGGACAGCCTCCCTCCAGATGTCACCTAATAGAGAAATAAGCCTTTATCTCGTACAAGCTGCTGTTATTTTTTTGTTAAATAAGCTGAACCCAATTCGAATTGATTTAGTTCAGACTCATACATATTTCCAAGGTTTATTGTAACTATGATGGAAAAGGTGAAAAAATAAATTATTTCTTTTATAATATTTGAGCAAACACATCTCCAAACCATAATTTTCATTCTCAACCCCTTTCTGGTACCTTTCAACTTTGGGAAAGGAAAAGGAGGGAAACGAAGCAGGAAGAAAAATGGAAAAAAGCACACTCTGCCTCTCTGCCACTGCTCTGTGCGTCCTCTCCTCTCTTCTCCAGAGCGAGGTCCTACCATTCTTCGAGACCCAGCTCAGCGAAACTGTTTCCATCGGACCTTTGAATTCAGAGTGCATACTCCCTATGCCATCTGACAGCTATATAACATACAGCAACATCTTTTGCTTGACTTCTTAACTTTTACACTGTATTTCTTTGTCTATGTGTCATCTTCACAACAACCTGCATCATATTTCTTTGCACCCTTACAGCTACCAGAAAGCTACCTGTGTGGCAGCACCTCAATAAGTACTTTTGATTGATTAGTCACATTAAGTGAGATGGAAGACGAAGAGAGAAAAAAGAGCACAAGACTAAGGAGTGAGAATGTACAAACTCTTCGAAGTAAGAAAGCATAACAAAAACGCTGAAGATTCCCCAGGGCAAGTTTGCCTTCACTGACCGTACCAAAGAATTGGGCCTGCAGAACAAACACTGTGAACTGTTTGCTGCGCACAAGGCCAGTGCAAAACTTAACTTATACCTAACTGAGTTTGTTTTCCAAATAAGGGACAGCGTACTTTGCTTCAGTTACTCAGACAATTGCCTTAACCTCACTTTCTTAATTACCTTAGTCATCTGACAGAGTAAGAGATCCAGCTTAGGAAACCATGTTTCCATAGTGAATGTATATGATTCCAAACCATATAATGAAAATTGGCTTCTAGCAAGATCATCTTTAACATATTGTTCTGTCAATGTGAAAACATATAGAAAGTAATACTTGCACACATGCAATAATGACTTAAAATATTATTGCGTCTAAAATAAGTAGTTCGTGAGATCGTTTTCATTAAATAGACACTATTATCTCTCTTCTAAACCCCAATAATAATACAGCTTGGGGAAAAACATTACTACTTCTTTGAAAATAAGATATATTTTAAACTTATTTTGCAGAAGCTACATAAGTAAAAGCTTGGTAACACTGAAACATTAAAATCTGTATAGAAGTATATAGAATTAACACATTTAAACATATCACATGTTTAAAAGCTTTCTCTCCATTTAAATACATACGATAAGTCAAGAACATTTTATACAGAAGCAATTGATATTTTGCCTAGACTCATGAACCAGTTTATACCCCACTGATTCTAGTCTCAATTATTTGTACTACATATCTGCTAATAAGTTATGTACCTATAAAGAAAGTTTCTAATTTATTTCCATGAATTCAGCATAGTTTTAGGGAAGGTATAAGTAAAAATATTCAATTAACAGAAAATTCAGCTTCTTTCTCATTCTTTCATAACAAGTCTTTATTACATCATCTATTTAAAAATGATTAAAAATGATAAAATAGTATTGTCCTTATCATTATATTGGTTCTACTTATGAAAGCTGAACTATTTTTACATAGAATTTATAGTCTGCCTGTCAAAAAATACTGCATTTTCTTGCAAATTACTCATTAATTTCCCCATTTCAACTTTTTTCACATAGATTTCTCAGAAGAAACCAAGATAGTAGCTTCTTTGACAATGAAATGTACAAAATAAATGACATGTCAACAAGTAAATCAGCATTCCCTTTCTGACCAGCTGGGTCATGTTTCCTTTTCAAAATCCTCAGTCCCATGATACAAAATAATAATAATCTAAAAGACCTCATTAAATGATCAATATATTGACATAACCTCTATAAGGAGACACATAGTGTTTTAATTGATTCCATGAATCCATTAAATGGAATACTAAACCCAAGTCCCCAATTATATTGTAAGATAAATTTTTCTTTATTAACTAATTTTCTCCCGGTTACGAATAATGGAGTATAAAAAAATTAAAACACTTTTATATATAACTAAACAGTAAAAGAAGCCCAATTTCACTAAATCTTTCATACAAATAATATCACAACAAAAGTTTTAATAGACAAGTTAAACCATGTTTACTTACCAGAAAACTCCCAAAGGCTGAATTAAATATTGCTGCTGCCTATAGAAAAAATAAATGGGGGGAAAAACTCGCTGAAGGTGAATAGGAAAAGCAAAAGCAAAGGTTATCATTGTCCCATCCCCCACCATTCAAAATCTTAAAACATTGACCCTATAAAGCAAAGTTAGTCACTGCTTACAAAAATTGCCAGTGGCCTATAGTTTACTAAGATAGATGAGCTGCAGGTTAGGAATTCATAAATAATGGGTCCCAAAAGCAAGCAGAAAAGGCATGCATGAGATGCTCTGAACCTATATGACAGTACCAAAGAATTGTCACCAGTAGTAAATTGAAACCTTGTTGTTATTGATTTTACTACTAAAGTTAAAACAATCAGAGGGTGATTTATTCATAAGAAATTTCATATTACTGGGAAGTGAAAAACCAGAATTATATTAAGAAAACATTAACTACCTTCTATCAGGGAGCCTAAGTCCTCGGAGATACACCCAGCAGAGTGAGATCTGTGGCCTCCATACAACACACATTAAAATAATGAACAGTGTCTTAAGACCAGGGAAGTTATTGCGGTTCCATTAATTCTAAGGTAGAAATGAGCAAAAAAAATTCTATTGGGTGTTCAAAATTTAAAGAAGAAATATTTGACTTTGCTTACCTAATTATCCAGGGAATACACAGTAGATGTAACACAGCTCTTAACTTTAAATCAACCACTGTATTCCTTGAAGCTACACCTGAATCCTAAAAGCTTCTCCTATTATTCAAAAAGGATAGGAACTTGTATAACATCCAATTTGATGAAAGAAAGGATAAAGAAAGAAAATAAAAGGAAAAAGGAGGAGTAGAGAAACCTATTGACATTTCCTGAAGATCCAGAGCAGCATTATATTAATCATCATGGACACTTGCAGCAACTTCGTAGTAAGAAGACGATGCCAGTTTAGCAAGTTTGAACAAAGTCCAGAGCCAGGAGCTAGGAGCTGCAGCCGACATGCCTTCTGCTCCAGAGGAGGAGGCGATGAGAGTGCATGGGTAATGAGATCCTTGGCTCCACAGAGCTTAGCGTTCCTGTTGAAGTTCATAATTAATTCAAAGCTTTGATAATTTCATTAGATTTCTCCTTTGCTGGCCCCATCAATAAAAGATGGCACTGAACCACACCTCCTCTGTGGCATAAACATAGGCATAGGCACAGACCAGGGAACCCTCTGCTTCATGACAGGGACAACGGCATATGGTGTTCCATGTTGTGCAGGGAGCAGTGGAAGAAACAAAGATTCGGCTAAATAAAACAGTGCAGGGGGCAACGGTAAACTAGAGCAACATACATGTATCTTCCTGGAGTTCCGTTATGGGTGATTCAGGAAAAAGTTTGATGTGGGGGGTGGAAAAGAAGTAAAATAGTAGAAAGAAATGAGCTGTGGTGAGATCAACAAGGAACTCTACCTTCCTTTCTACAAAAATGCACTTCCCCCACAAACAATGTTTATTTCCAGGTACCATGTTGGGCTTAAAATGGATTGATCTCTATTTTTAGTAAAGAATGAGGCCTTCCCCTTTGAGCTCCTCCCTTCCAAACTTGCTCCTTTCCAGTGCCTTTCCCCAACCTTAAACTAGCTAGCTGACGGTTTTGCCTAGCATTAAAAACGAACAAACAAAACACAACATGGATGGTTAGAAGTACCAAGGCTCGGAAGTCAAGTAAAATAAATGTCAATTGCTATTCAAATCGCCATACTCACACTCCACCCAGTTCTCTTTTTAAACCCAAACACAAGAAATGTATTTCATATGACTGGCTGTCTCCCTGCATTTTATAAAATGATGGTGATGACAGTGACGAGATATCTTAGCTACTCAAAGATGCTGCAGGCTCACTTATTCCTAGTTGCTTTTCTGACAGAAGCAATGGATTTGAACTCACTCACCTACACTACCACTCGGTCCTCCCAGGCAGTGAGCTCAAGCAGTCACTGGTGAAAAGCTTTGGGTACTCTGAAGAATCATGTAAAATCAAACACTAACCCAAGAATGTAGAGCTCAATATTAATAAATAATTAAGTTAATAGTTGGCTCAATCATGCATTTGTAGTATATAAAGGAATTACGTTTTCCAGGATTCTGAAGAGTGATAAATATTCAGAGTATTTAATTGATGTATAAGGGACATGTGTATCTTTTGACTTAGTGAGGAATGCCCAGCTGTTTAGTATCATATACAAGGCTCTCCATAAACAGGTTTCCATCTGGAGAGAGATCTCATTTCCTGCCTCAAATTTTGTATCCTTACAACACTAAACTACTTGTGATTCCCCGAACTCATCATGTGTCTTCTTACCTCTTTCTTCCCTGGCCTGAGTGTCTTTCTCCTTTCTCTACTACTGATCTCAGCAACTCAGCTTGGCCATTGTCCTTCAAGAAGATTGCAATCATCTCCTCCAGTACACACATGTCCCATGCCTGCTGCCACAGCATCCTGAGCATAGCTCTGTCATGGCACCAGCCACACAATGAAATGACCTACCTCCCTGCCTTCCTGCCCCACTACAGACTGAAGTCTTCTAAGGAAGAAACCTGCTGAAGCTCATCTTAAGCTCCTACATGTTTGCTATGGATTGCTGAAATAAGTAGAATTCCCAGAAACATTCCAAGTCTACCTCTTGTACCAAGTTACTCCATGTGTCTGGCAGAATCCAAGGACTGGAAGACACAAGACTGAATCTGACCAGGCTACAACCAAGCAACAGCAATGACAGACTTCAGTCTCCCACCCAACATAAGCATCTCTTTGACATCCTATTTTGCTTCCTGTTACTTTCCTATTATGATAGAGTTACATAAATATGCGTAACATAAATAATGTTTTAAAATCTACCACTGCTATAAAACAATATAGTTAGTTAAAAAAATCTACATTACCAGGGAATATTCTGCAGCTAAGAGGATGATTTGCCTAATCCAGTGATGGCGAACCTATGACACATGTGTCAGAAGTGACATGCGAACTCATTTTTTTGGTTGACTTTTTTTTGTTAAATGGCATTTAAATATATAAAATAAATATCAAAAATATGTCTTTTTTTTACTATGGTTGCAAATATCAAAAAATTTCTATATGTGACAAGGCACCACAGTTAAGTTAGGGTTTTCAAAATGCTGACACGCCGAGCTCAAAGGTTCGCCATCACTGGCCTATACTGATATGAGAGCACAGTGATATTTAAAGTGGAAAAATAAGTTTCAAAACAGTGTGTGTAATTTCTTCAATATGGTTTTGTCCACACCACAAAGCAATTCTCAGATATCAGCTAGGTGTGCTACAAGTCAACGTCATGTGCTACTTATCTACCTGAAACTAGTGTCAGCTCCCCCAGGTTAAGGGCTCAGTCCCATAAGAGTGCCCCCATTTTGGATGTCAATCACAAGTCTAAGTTGTCACCTGTGCTTCTGGCCAACTGGCTATAAATCAAAGGTTCCCACAACCTCTTCTTGAGTTTGATTAATTTGCCAGAGCAGCTCACGGAACTCAGGAAACCAGCTTCCTCACTATATTACTGCTTTATGTAACTCACGAGAAGCCAGATGGGAGAGAGGCACAGGGCAAGGCATGGGGAAGGGCACAGAGCACTCATGTCCTCTCTGAGTGCACCACACTCAGCACCTGCAAGTGTTCATCAACCTGGAAGCTCTTGGAACCCTTCCCTCTGGGGTTTCATTACATAGACCTGGCTGATGAAGTCATCGGCCATTGGTGACTGAACCCAATCTCTAGCCCTTTTCTACTCCCCAGAGTTCTGGGAGTCAAAGGAAAAGTTCCAAACCTCTAATCACAGGTTAGTTACCCTTGCAAACAGTCCTATCCTTAGGTTAGCTAGGGGCTTCCCCAAAATCACCCAATTAACAACAATAAACACCATTGCCTGCTGTCTTCCCTTAGGAAATTCCAAGGGTTTTAGGAGCTCTGTGCCAGGAACTGGGATGAAGACCAGATATGTATTTCTGATTATAAATCACGACATCATATTCCTATTGTGTAAACATTTACACACACACACATACATATACACAGGTGTGTGTAAGAAAACATCATTTTTCTAAAAGGGATAAAAAAAAAAAAAACCCTCCAAGCCCTAACCGGTTGGGCTCAGTGGATAGAGCATCAGCCTGCAGACTGAAGGGTCCCAGGTTCGATTTCAGTCAAGGCATGTACCTTGGTTGCGGACACATCCCTAGTAGGGGGTGTGCAGGAGGCAGCTGATCGATGTTTCTCTTTCATCGATGTTTCTAACTCTCTATCCCTCTCCCTTCCTCTCTGCAAAAAATCAATACAATATATTTTTTTTAAAAACCCTCTTAACTATGGTTACATTTCTTGAAAGGGATTGAGCAAAGGTCCTTTTTATTTTTCATTTTGTTTTGTGTCCTGTTGGGCTTTTGTTTCTAACATGTTATTTTTCTATATGTCACAAGGGTTATCTGGCCAGGGAGATGTTCAGCCATTTATTGTTTGCATTTTGAATTTCTTTGTGTTAAAATGTAATAAATATTTCATTTTAAAATGAAACTAAGATTGCAATCCCTACTCTGTACATTAGAGGTATCTCCTGCTGGCTGCCTGACAAGCTGGGGTTGCCCAGCCCCTGCACCTCACTGCCCTGGGGATGAGAGGCCACAGGAGGAGCTGAGGGCTGCTTCCCGGAGTGTCTCTAGTGCGTGAATATTTGGTTTTGAAAATAAACCAAAAATCCACTATTATTTCTGTATTATAACAAACATGGCTGTTATAATACAAACCTATGAACTGAGATGGAACATGAGCCACCAAAGACAATTCTATCTGAATGTAGAACTCTTCAGGTTATATGAGCAGACTCCCTTAGAATATGAGTTTCCTCTCCTCTGCCTACTAAAAGCTGCACACCTGTGACAGTTCACTGATTTTTCAATGTAGCATTTCATTGATCTCTTTTTGCTAGAAACAATTTAATTACCCATTCCCCAAGTAGAATACTCCATTCTACAAGAATGTTCCATTACAG